CGGGCACTTCGGACGAGCCGCGGAACTCGTCGAACTCGATCGCATTATACATACTCGCCAATCAATCTCACGTATACACCATCGGATTCTACGAACCAGGGGGGGAGGAGGAGCGCGCGTGTACATATATCCTTCCACGGCCCATCAATATATACCCCGAAGAAGTTTTCCCATCGATCCGTCGTATTAACAAAGTTCCGGCCGGTAGTCAGAGCGGCGCGCCATAATCGCCGGGAACGTTTATTCACCGTCGTACCAGAAAACACGCGGGCGGAAACTTTTATTGGAGGGCGACCAAAAGTTTTTCCTCGTGCAGCGACGCCTCGCGGCACCCGACCGAGAGCCGTGATCATTAGGGCGCAACGAACGGGAAAAAAAGTCCCGGGGAAGAAGAAAAGGAACGACGAAATTGCGACATTAGCGGGGTCTGTTGCCACCCCTCGCCTCCCCATTACTCCTTTTCTCCCTCTCACTCTCTTCTTCTCTCTTCCTTCCTTCCTTCCACCAGCCCTCTTTCTCTGTCGCGGTCCTTTTCGCGTACAGAGAGACGGCATTAAAGCTCCTCTCCCGATGTCGGTGGAAAAAAAAAAGAGAAAAGGAGAAAAAGGGGTTGGAGATGGCAAGCGCGACGAAGGAGCCGTGGATGAAGGCGTTGGCCCGGGGGTTGGAATGATGTATCACCGTGGCTCGCTAAACTCTCCGCCCGGATTTCATTACTAAATCCTATAACCGACCGAGCGAGACCGTCTCTTTTGTTTTTTCCCTCTTCTTTCGCCCCCTTCCCTCCTGCTCCACTCTCTACCCACCCCCTTCTCTCTCTTGCTTCTTTATTCTCTTTTTCGTCTTTTCCTTTCTTCATCGCGTCGCTAATTAAACGGCTGTTATTCCGAGCGAGCCTGTGCACACACAGCCAAGGCCGCCGCGCTTACGCTTTTCGCCCGCGTTTTACGCTTAAGGGGGTGGGAAACAATGGCGCGTTGGCTGCATTGAAATTCGTCGAGTGTGTTTTGATCGTTCGCTGGTTTCCGGGGCTAAAGGGATTTAAGGAGACCGTTGCTTATTCTTAATCGCCGGTTCGCGATCTTTCCAGCTGTGTGTCGCTTCATTCTTCGATATTAATTCTTCGCTGGTCGTTCGCGCGGGTGTCAGACTGGCAGCTTCTGTTTGGTTTTAGGAATTGCGTTTCGGTGAATGTGGCGAGGTATAGTTGGTGAAAGCGATATACAGCGAGGTCGTGTGTTGAAGGATTACAACGGCGGCACTGATTGATGTAGCCGCGACCAGGGCGGTGCGTTATTTGTGAATTGATATCATTTCAATTCATTTAACGCATTTGCATCATTATCGTGTATATGCGCGAAATTTTCCTGGTCACTATCACGTATATACAGTGAATAATCGCAGCTACTAAAATTTCGTGTTAAGGATCTGTTTTTCATTTTTTTCAAATGTTGCAAATGGGTTAAGGTACACGGTTTTAGCCCTTTCATTGCTATTGGTGTCTATAGGCGGTTTGAAAATTTCCTTGCGCTCTACAGTTCGCATTTTTTGATGCATCTCCACTTTGATTTATTCTTTAATTTTATCTTTTAAGTACTTCTACCTTAATTTAGTAAATGAAATTTTGAAGTGTTACTGCAAAAAGAAGAGATTTCGTTGAAAAATGCTGTCACATGCGTTAAGTACTGTGCGGAGTTCAGGAGTTTGCCCCCGGGGCAGCACAGGGGCAAGGCGGGCACTTATTCTCCCGTCGCGCAATTTTCATATGATCCGATCACGTCGGCCAATAATGACAATACGTGTGCCCTATTTCTGTGATTAGAAAAGGTGGGCTTATGGGGATATGACCTAATCAGACGGCATTTCTTCCAGAGGCAAACTCCTGAGCTTTGGCCAGTACTATAATCTGCCTACGTCGCCTTTTGCTCAATAGTAATTTCCGTATTGGTAAAAATTAACTTGCAGTCGCACAGAAATGTTTTAAATATAGTACAACGAAGGAACCAATTCTGAGTTGACATCGATCGGCTCTTTATCTCCCTCGCAATTGCTGTTTTAGTGCTCGTATTACGTCTAATTTGATTCCTGACTGACTTTAGCACCTCGCTATATCGCTTTCATCGACTATACTTCTTAACCTTTACGACGATACAATGAAAACTACAATATCGAATTTTGTGCGTGAATTGTACAAATTATCGTCATTTTTGCCTCAAATGCTTTTGTTTCTTTAATAATGACTTAAGTAGTTAATATTACGATTTTGATAGAAAATGCGGCGAACGTAATGGAATGAAAGAAAATAACGAGTACTGTACTCCTTTGTTAATTCGATACTCGGGAAGTTTTCTAAAAGCTTTTCACATTTGCTTAGCTCGTTATTTTCAACGTTTCCTGCTTTCACGGCGCACTACCTGCTCTTCAAAATATTTCCATTCTGACGTACAGTAGTGCACACATAGGCGTTTGCATTTTTGCACACATAAGCGTTCGCATTTTTGCACACTTAAGCGTCCGTCGCTATCCCCACCAATTCTTGGAAATGGGACGTCGGAGTGGAGTTCGAGCGTGAAACAAAGTAATTCCATATCGACTCCTGAATGTGAACAACTGACACTTGATATATCGGTATCCCACTCAGACACATCTCCTCTCTTTTGTTTAGTTAAATTCGTAGAAGTCACCTCCCCACTTAAGCGTCCGCGTTTGGTCCCTGCGGACGCTTATGTGTGTACTACTGTATATACAAACATACGTATCTACTATTATTACTGGGTAACTTGAAAACACGTATTTTATGGAATCTTTATTTTCTCGAAAACCATCGTCACACTCTACGTTAGAAAATCTCTTTCATCTCCACGCTATTTTT